CTGGAGGCTGAGTGTTTTACATGCAGCATTGTCTTGCAAATGCCAGCAGACACAGCCTTACAGAAGTAGGAGGACTCCTTGGAGAAGAATGCAGCTGGGGCATTTGCTCAGCATCAGATGTGCAGACACAGCACTGAGGGACATGGTTCAGCTGGGGACTCAGCAGGGTGAATTTTATGGTTGGACTTAAAGACCTCAAGAGTCTTTCCCAACCCAAATGATTCTATGATTCTACATTGTCCTAGGATGTTGGACTCTTACCTTAGAACAGCCAAGCAGCCCTTTAATCATCCCTTCTGAGCTTCATGTGTACCTCAGGATGAACTAGAAAGTACTTCACCATTCCTGAAGAGACATATATGTCTACTAGAGCAAGTCACTCTTGCTGATGATCAGCTGTCAGGAATGCAGCTCTCCACTGACTGGATCGAGGCAGCTAATGTTGGGAAGGAATCATAGAATCATCAAAGGGTTTAGGTTGGAAGAAGAGATCTTAAAGATCATGTAGTTCCAGCCTCCTGGGCAGGGATAACTTCAACTAGACCAGGTTGCTCAGAGACCCATTCAACCTTGAACACTCCCAGGGATGGGGCATCCACAGCTCCTCTGGGCCACTGGAGGGAATATGCAACTGGAAGATCCTTACCCACTGAGGGTAAGAGGGATGCCATTTGTATTGTAGGCAAATTGTCCAGCCACACCAAAACCAAATCCTATGGAGACCATGTCTAGGTTCAAGGCAGCATTCAAAATGCTTATTCTCCATGTGCACTGGAATTTCTCAATTCAGGCTGAATCTGGACACTTAAACTGTTATACAGGTTCACTTTCTGACTAAAGGATTAATAAACAAAGAGATTTTCAAACTGTACATGCAAAACTTTCCTGCATGGTACACTTTTCTGCTGTTACAATCTTCAGAAGATAATATCCACCTAGTCCAACAGCTGACATAAAGCAATGAAATCCATCATGTCACAAGGGTGCTAAGATAACTAGATAAGCAACTAGTAAGGAAATTTTAGTAAGGAGTTTCCCAGGTCTCCTGTCTGCATTGGATGCCAGGCTTTAACTAGAGTTAAAGAGGCAAGAATCCATTACAGAGAAAGTCCATGGCATAATTAGAAAACAATCAACACTTTTTCTAATGCTGATTTCTTCTTCACTTTAAACTGCTTCATTGACTTTAATTAAACTTGCCCTGGGTTATGAAGCTAGCAAACCGCAGAAACATTTGAAAATTAAATAAAATAAAAGCATTTTTCTTGTCTGAGGGGTTTTTGCTTAGCTGTACCACACTTCTGACTTAGAGAATTTTTTAATTATTAGAAATGCTGTATGTAACACTGCAAGACTTGGTTTTGCTCTTGAATTAAGATCACCTCTCACTCCACAGTAAGAATCACAACATAAAATTGTTGAGACTATTTTCACTGCTCTTTGCAGAATTTCTCTGCTGGTTTTTAGGAAATGGTGTGATGCTGTTACCACTTACACCAGCCCTACTCCCAGTTTTGTCTAAGGCCAAATGAAAGGAATGTTGTAGATTTAGAACACAGTCAATTTTCATGCCAATGGCTCAGGCCAAGGTTAAAAGCACATGACACAGACTTTGGAGGGATAAAGAGATGGCCTGTGTCCTGCCCAGCCTGGGTCTGGCTCATGAGAATATGACCAAAATTCCAAAGAATGAGTGAATGGAATAACATATAAAACATAATCATTGAGAGAAAAGAAGGTGGGAACAACCATATCAAATATATTCCAGCCTGGAGTCATCCAGTTTCAATGTATGTGACCCTCACTTTATTAAAATTCTAAACAAAATAAATTCTGGTCAAAGATAGGCCTGGCAAAGAAATAGGAAAGCTCAGGTCTGAATTAATTTTACAATTTGGTCTGCCGCTGTTTTGAGTTGCTCTCTTCTTATCCTCTGAAGAACTTCCTAGAGACAACTGAGAAGGGCTCAAAACCTGTACTTTTTATCACTAGAAAAAGCAAAAAAATATTTTAGGAAAATTTCAAGTTTTGCTAAGAAAGAAGCAATTACTTGCAACTGCATTCGTGACTTGGTGAAGTACCATAGAGTATTGTAGAGTATTGTAGTTTAACCTGGGGTTTAAAAGAATTTAACTCAATTTTTGAACAGTTTTTCTATTATTTTTTTTTCCACAGATGTCTGAAAAAACAGAATTTCTATGCATCAGAAGGCTACTGTCTTCTACTACTCCTGAGATATTACCTAGATATCCTCACTAAAGTCCAAAGAAAGATCTTCAAAAAAGTCCGTGGCACCAGGATCAGCCATATAGATCTGTAAATTTAACATATATAAGATGTCTACAACAGAATACCTAAAAAATATGTTAATTGCCATTTGTTATATCTTGAATATACACGTAACAGTGATGAAACAGGAAGAGTTTTCCAAACTGGTAAAGACAGGCACTGCAAACAATCTGTAATACAATACAACTCTACTTATGTCCACTCAAGCTGTTTAATACCACAACAGAATTACTCCATAGTTTATGGACATTTTCCTTCACCAGAGTCTTTGAGAACTTTCCATTAACTTCAACAGATGCCAAAACAGGCCCAAAATCAGGAAATTAAGAAATATGCTGTACCCAAAGGAAACCATTGTGGGAATTTAGGTAGGTAGAATGTAATTATTCACATTTGGATCAGTATAGAGCACTAGGTTTATATCCCCATTCTGGCAAACGTATGAGATACATAATAATCAAGAGGTGCAGGGCTGCTGGCTTTCCACTCAGTCAAAAGAAAAGAATAAAGGAGGAGAATGATCTGTTCACTTGATGCTGAGTAAAAGGAAGCAGAGACATTTATTGCATCATCTGCAAGACTTGCCAAGAAACAAAATGTATTAAGTAAGCAATCACATTTGAAAAAGTAGAAATTTGGTTCTTTGCTGGTGCAAATTATATGGTTTTCTTTCTTTTGTGTTTGGTCCTAGGGAAATATATTTGGAAATTAGTGTCTTTGCAAAATACTGATACTTATCATTTCTACATTCATTTATATAGGTGAGGACACCAAGAAAAACTGAAAAAAATAATGGATTCTCTTGCAAATGTACTGGATTGCAAAATAACGAAAAGTTCCAAATCTTGTAATAGAACTGCATTACATTCTAGCAAAGTGGATCCATTTCTGAGGTGGAACATGACAGCTTTTTAACTTTCTACAACAATATGTGACAGAAGAATAGTATATTCAGTTGATACCATAGGGTGATTTATGGAGGCAGAATGTAATAATATAAATTGAGTTTCAGAAAGACACTGTGACTAATCTTACAAAAAATGCTACAGGATGTTTAATAATCCTGGTGGGTCAGAAGTTGTTCCTCAAAAAATTCTCTTAAGACTGATTGTTATTAAACTATGTACTGCATTTGGTTCATTTTTCATTTAACTATGTAGTCTAAAACTGCTGTCAAGTGCAAATATTTGAGTTGTAATTGGATACCCATACAAATGGAATAGAGCCACCAAACCTCAATGAAAATTACAATCATAGAATACTTAAGGTAGTAAATGTCCTTTGAAGAGCCATAAGACAAGCATCTGTCCACATCTTTTGAGGTGTCCCTAGCAGAACTCATATTTATTGTCCCATTAATCAAAGACAAAAGAGCAGGAATGAGGAAGCACACTACAACTCCTTTGCATTCACTGTGTAACCCTCCTCCATGGCCTCCCTTCAGCATGTAAGGCTGTGATACTTATGAATGGCAATTCTGAGAAGACTGAAGCGAGCAGAGAGAATGGGAACACATAACATGTATGGTTGAGGGGCTTGACTCAAACCCCTTAACAATCAGCCCAAGTCTGTGTTTTGCTTCCAAGGCCCCTGTGTCAGTCCTAGTGGAGAAGCAGAGCAGTTTTCACAGTATGTCTCTCCCTGTCTGCAGACAGGCCGTGACTGCAAGTGCTTGGAGCTCTGGTCTGAGCCGACATGGTTTCACCAGGAGATGAGAAACAAGCAGACGGTGCTCCATGGGTCTGACACACACTACCACACACAGCACTCCTGCCAAGGCCTCTGCAGGATGGGAGCGAGCCCGGCGCCATGGGATGGCAGGGCCTGGCTGGTGACCAGGGCTTGTCCCAATCCCGCCAGGGCAGCCCCAGCCCCGGGCACCTGCCGGGGCTGGGCCAAGATGTGGGGCTGGCCAGGCAGGGCTGGGGCTGACGGGGCTGGCCAGGGCCAGGGAGCCCTGCGGCCTGGTGGTGCCTTCGGGGCCTCAACACAGAAAAATAATATCAAAATAAAAATACCTTAAACAAATCTTACTCTAGTTTTGTTTCATAGGGCTTCCTGTCTTTTCACCGTGTATTTTCCCCTGCATTTTCTTTATGATTTAAAATCTCCTTAGCAATAGCTTTCAGCACTGCATGCAGCTCTTTTCAGTTCACCCTTGTTAATGAGAACAAATGAAAAAGCATGTTTGTGCATTTTCAGAGGCTATCCAAATGGGCTGAGATCCACTTACATGGCATCCTTTCCTTGGCTACACAAAAAAACAATATTTTTGTAACTCTGGAAAATTTGCTCCACCTAGAAGTTTGGCTAACACTAGCATTTTCATCCCAGATTTTGGGCTTCCTATAATGCCATAAAGTTTTTGTTAACCAGCCCACAAGTTCCTTAAAAAACATTTCTCAGACGGTAAATAGCAAGATGCTTAATGTATACAGTATGTCAGGTTTGGTCCCAATATCTCTCTTACTCAGGGCTCTCAGCCTTTTCCACCACATAATACACTATGTGCCAGAGACCACCCAGCAATTTTTTTTTTCTTTTTCCCACTGTATTTCACATTACCTCTTTGTTAAGTTTAGTTGTAGACTTCAACTCCATAAGGTAAAATATTCCTAGATACTTAATAGCCTGTGGTTTTCAATCTATATTTAAACCCTGCCTTATCCACTGATCGTACAATATGTTCAGGGACATAAACTCCAACTTACCTCAGTTGATTTGGCATTCAGACATGCTTGCAGAATTCTCAGCTAGCTTCTACAGATTTTTTATGTTCTAGGAGCTGAAATAAAAATACCATTTATGATGGATGTATGATAATAAGTTCATTCATCTCTAATAAGTATGTATGATATTTATTAGAGATGAATGAACAATGCATAGCAAATAACTTAGAAAAGTATTGTTTACTAAATATCCAGAAGCAGATCTCTTATAATGATTTGATGAATTCTTTGAATTTATTCAACATTCTCCAATTCTTACCATTTTTACTCATTGCTTTTCAACTTAGCTGTTCCAAATGTCCAATAGCCATTAGCCAATCTATGTAGTACAGCTCTGATGAATGTGTGTGAGTAGTGATTTTTAAAGTTTTCACCAGCAAAATTTGAGTATATAACTCTGATATTAGTATATGTCATGGCTTTGACAAACATCTGTGTGGTGACTTCTGGCCTAGTTACAACCCCATTTGCATGTACCAATGCTGCAGAACTGGAAGCAGCATGGCATCACTAGTGCAGTGCTGTCCCTGATTAATTACCACCATCAAGATGGAAGATGTATAAACTCAGGTGTAGTATCAGGTTGGTTCTCTTGCTTTCAGAATCCATGCTAGAAACCTCCTATGATCAGCCCCACTTCCTGCAGATGCAATATCCCTGGAAAATACAAGCTCTTGAACACGCTTGATACTATTTGTGCTGTGCTCCTACATCCAGAACTGTGGTAGGGGCCCCATGTTTTCTGGCTACCAGTGTAACCTTCCAAGTCAGCTCATTTAGAGCTTTTGCCCTTCACAGACTTAAAGAAATAAAGTCAATATGAAATGAACTTTCTTACTCTTCTGGGACAAAATTTAAATACACATCACTCACAAGACGGGGGATGGTATCATACAAAACTTACCTATACCTGTGAAACAGTTTTCTTAGAATTATCCTTCCTGAGTTAGAGGGATCATTAAATAATATGACCAGAAATAGGTTTGGTACTCAACAAAATTCATTTAAATAAGGAATATGTTGTATACCGTAATTTATTATGCACAGAGCTACCAGTACTAACACAGAGGAAAAAGAACCAGGTTGTTAGTTGATCTGTTAATGCACTTAAGTGTCAACAGGTGTGATAGACTGGAAAGGGGCAGGTGTTACCAATGTATTGGTGCTGTCAGAGAAGAAGGATGTTCTGCAGAAGCCTTAAATGTAAACTTTAAATTGACAAGCTGTTGATATCCTCTATCAGCCACCACCTTACAAGCATTCCACATCTGATTTAAGGTTGGAAATGTGCCAGAAAAAAGGCCTAATACTTAAATATGTGGGTACTAAAACACTTGAACTTAACTCTGACATCTGCACATTTAGGTTTTTATGTTCCATAAAGATGTCATCTTCAAGGGAGGCATCAAACCCTATTTCTGTCCCCTGTAGACACTCATTTGTAGTTTCAACTAAACACAGCACCAGCAGATAGCTGTGCAGCTAAACCACTTTACTTGGATCTCCATGACACAGTCCTTAGCAACAAAGATTTAAGATCATCTAAAAGACTAAGATTAAAAGTTCTTCATTTTGGGACCATATAAGTTAAAGAGAAAAAAATACAATGTGAATACTTAAACAGAAAAAACCACGAAACATGTTGAAAATGGACAACCTAAACAAAGTCTGGAACAGTGTGGTATTTTTTACTGCAATATTTAATCCAATTAGTTTCTAGTTGATGTTACATATGAAATCTAAAAAAATTAAATAAACTTCCTTTATGTTTTTCTGAATACACTTCACTGCTTTTTAAAGTAAGGGATTAATAACATTTGGGATGGGAAAGCAGTGTAGATTGGCACAGAGTAAATCTTCCCTCAGCACAAGGCTGGTTTATTATACAGGACTGTTTTATTATACTGGCTTGAGTCCTGAGCTGCAAAAACCATTCTTTGCCAGTTCTCAGAAGTCACAGATAGAAAAGATTTTTAAGATTTCTTAATTCCAGAACACTGGGATCAACATTAATTCAGTCCATGTAATAGTTATCACAGTTTTTCCAGTACTGTGCACTGAGTTATAAGCCCATCTAATGATGACAACTTACTGTAGTTCTTAAAAATGTCTGTTCCTCTACCTAAATAGATTGCTCCTAGAAAAATTAATTTTCTTCATATTTTCAAAAATCTGCTCACATCATGGCTCCTAAATACATATTCTTTTAACAGTCCTGAACACTGATGGACAGTTATAGTGAACTGTCCCAAACAAAGAGGTAGCTTCATAAAACAAATCACATAGATTTACATATCTGACCTTTTCTAAATTCCAAATAAATTCTGCAAAGGAGAAGAGGTAGTGCTTTAACTCAATTTGCTCATGTGATAGAGAGACCAGAATGGAGCTCTCCAGAGAAAGCAGTATGCTAAAGCCAAAGCACAAATTGGAATTTGTTCTGGTGCAGAATGCCATGTTTGTTATGGTCAAATCCCACACAGCTCCTGATTTAGGGCTATATCATTTCACTGGATACTGTCTTGTTCTTTACATGACATACATTTCACTCAGAATGTCTTTAAAAAAAGAATGCCTCCCTCTGAAGATACACAATATGGCAACAAAATAATTTCCTGGCTGTTATGCAGCCTGGATAAAGCAGAACCATTAATGTTGGGTTTTGTTTTCTCTGAACACTGCCACTACTTTGTAGTTCCTCACAGTAGTGTGGTTCCTACTCTCCTGATCAGATCTTCTGAGTGGCAAATGCTTCTTTAAATCTCCTTGTTGGTGAACACATTCTAACAAGGCACCACCATTTTCTGTTTTGAAATAAATCACTCAACTTTATACAATAAAATTAGTAAAAATGTCTAGTATCAAAGCATCCCATTTAAATCTACTGAGCAAAATACTTCTATAAAGAAGGATATTTGAGTTTCTAAAGAAAGCAACTGGAGCTGTGCAATGAGTTGGTTTCACAGGGAATTTCAGAATTTGGTGTTCTTTGTCTTTGGAATAAAAATCCCCAAATATATTAAAATCCATCATGCAGCAAATTCTGAAATCATTTCAGTGTGTAAAACCAAAAAAATTTCTTTTTATAATCTCCAAATGTTTTTACAGTGTGTGAAGAGCTCAACTCGCTCAAACTCCTCATGTGGTGGTAGTGACATAACTTCAGATCCCTGACTACTTTTCATTACATAATCTGGACAGAAGTGCAGCTAAGTTCCTGCCCACCTTGGGAATTCCAAATGAACATCATTGCTTCCAAGACAGCCTGAGTGGTCTCTATACTTGACTCTCTGTTGGTCCTAGAAGGCACAGGTTGTAGAAGAGCAAGGACCCAGAAATTCTGACCCAGTAGGTTTCACCAGACTGCCAGAGAGAAAGAAGTGGGGAGGAAAGCAAGCTGCTTTGGTTGGTCATTGAAATTCAAGCATCTTTGCTAATTTTTTTTCATGCATTGCATTACAGAATTGTCTTTTTAATCCTCTTTTCTTACCTGCACAAAAGACAGCATCTAGGTAATGGTCATGTCAAGGAAAAAGCACCAAAGTGCAGTGAGATCAGATATGCATTTCAAAACAATTTTTTCTTGATGTGATGAAATACACAGCTAGACTGAAACTTCTTGGGAACAGAAAGCTTGATTTCTTACTTGCCTAAAATTCTTCTATGAAGCAGTTAAAAATAATGCTCACAAAAGAATGACTCTGCAGATGTTGCATTTGCAGCAGCAAATCTGGGCCATGCCAGGAAGAATTAGAGTAACCTGCCCTGTATGTTTCAGACCAATAATGTGCCATGCACAACACAAAGCCCTATGCCTTTGGTGAGGGTGTTATTTTGCCAGTGAAGTTTCTCGGCATAAAGAAGATCTGTGTCAGAACATTCTTAAACTGCAAGTGATTTTTAAAGTTCAATCCTCCACAATGCAGACACCAAAGCCAGGACTATCATACAGAAGTGTATTATAATGTATAGGAATGTACATTAGGAAATTACTCCTGGTCTGGCTGCCATACCAATGCATATCAATGCAGCAAAAAGTGTATGGTAGAACAGAAGGTTTTGTGCTAGAGAACAGATAAGTGACATGGATTGAAATTATGGTAAATTTAAATTGATGGCCTAATTAGTATTATCTCTTTTTGTATTCTCTGTAAGAAATATTATCCAGGAGGAACTCATTTTGCATTAATGTTGATATAAAGTGTAATTCTGTAGCATTTTCATTGTAATCTGGCATTAATTAATGCATCATTATTCCAAAGTGTTAATTAAATTATTACAGAAGGGGACATCTGACCCAGTTCAGAAAGAAAGAAAATAAGTACAGTGCATGAGAATTAAACTTTCAGAGGTCTGAAATGAAGGTGTGAGTTCCCACAACACTAGGTTTGTGTAGCAGCACAAAACCAAGATGAAATATAGACATGATATATGACTCATAAACCACAGTATGACATCAACATTTGCTCACTCACAATGGAGTCTGATGACAGCATCAGAGCCTCAAAGACAGGCAGGCATCAGAAATTTGAAATGACCCATTTCTAACAGCGTAAATTAAATAAACTGTACACTGACTATCATGAATTGCTCTCAAGGACTTCAGGGAATTGAATAGGGATACAAAAAAACAATCACAACTTCTACAGGCTCTATTGCATACCCTGCTGCTGGGCAGGAATACCACTGCTATACAGCCACTGGGAGTGCCAGGGCAGATAATCGGGATGAATTGCAAATAATCTTACACTCTTCAGTGTTGATGATCTTGACCTTCTGCCTGCAGTCCTAAGGGGCTTCAGTGAAATCTCTAATCAGCATTTCAGTTGTTGTTCTTTTTACTATCACCTGGGTGGTAGCTGTTTTCACATACAGGCAGGAAAAAACCCAGTCCTCTACCAAAGGATGTACCAATGCCTGATCCAATGCCCAGAGAAAGCTACAGAAATCTAATCCTGACTTAGAGAACTGGCATTTAAGCACGCAAATTGCACAAGCAGACCTCTGAGGGAATGCCACTGGCAGCAAGTGGGGCTCTCTGCAAGGGGCCACACAA